TTCGTCCTGGTGTGCGGTCTAATAACACTGACTTCGAGTCGCAAATACGTTTCTGCCGAGTTATTTTTTTAATAAATAATATATTACAATTTAAAATAAAAAATAGAGAATTTGTGGTGTACGTATCAATGAAATACATCCTTAGGTATTTTAATAATCTTGAAATTTTTAAATAATCTTAATCGTTTGATTACTCCAATGAAATTAATCGATTAATGTCCAATGATAGACCGTACAGCTTTCATTCCGTTAAAAAATAATAAAATTTATGTAATTTTATTTTCTGTCTCACTTCCTCTTGTGTTAATTTCTGAATCTGTTGATAACGTTGCGAGTGACACGAAAATGGTAATGGGGTCCCGGGACCCCAGAAACTCCGGCCGAAAAATTACATTAGGTGAAAGGTCTATTCATATACCTCGTCTGTGATAGCACCACAGACGAGATATATGAATATCCTCGTCTGTGATCTAATCCTAAATCGATCTGTAGTTGACGAGTGTATCTGAATTTTTGTGAGAAATTAATACACAATGAAATACTTTCGCGATTGTTACGACAAATGGAATGGTTTCTGAAGAACGCAGCCATTAGATCATATTATTTGTTATGTAATTAATAATTGTATTAATTACTAAATAATAATCCCCAGGTCTCACCACGTGGAGTTTGCTGCGAGTGGAGACCCGAAGGGAGATAGATGGAATCAAAGTTCCATCGATCTCCCTTTTAGCTAAGCTTAGCTGGATTACTAAACTAGAGAGATAAAAGGAAGCAATGTTCCTTCGATCTTCTAGTTTAGTTGTACCAAGTAATTATTTCGTTTGAAAAGGGGTGAAGCTATATTGTGGGATACGCGATGCTGAACCGTACGGCAGATCTTCGGATCGAATCAACACTGCCCTTGGTAGATTGATTTCTATTTCTAGAAATCGATCCATCATGGGTAGGCGACTAGATCTTTCGGACAAACTGGACGGCCGATCACATGTTTCAATCGATGAAACAGTGGTGATCGAAGCTAGGAACCAGAGAACGAGTCGAGAGAAGCTACTTGTTAAATAATTACTTGGCTATATTGGGAGACGCATACAATAGGGACTTAAAATTAACGTCGAAGCTCAAATCTGGTCAAGTTAAAACTAAAATTCGGACGATAGAAGGAAACAAAGTTCCTTGGATGTTCTGGTTTAGTTGTACCAAGCAATTATTTGGTTAAAAAGAGGGACGAAGTTAATTTGAGGGGCACGCGAAGCGACGCGACGCGACGCTGAACCGTGCAGCGGATCCGAGGATCGAACCTACTGCCCTTGCTAACTAGATCTCTATAGGATAACGGACGGCTGCGACTCCGAATCGAAGGTCTCCATTGCTCCAATGCAACCCGCCGGGAGCCCGAAGGACCCGACTCAAGTTGTCTGACATAGAGAGAGTACCTGAAACAGTGTCGACTTTCGCTGGAAGGTATGCGTTTCCGCAGAATACGGAAACTCCACACCTTCCAGCAAAGTACCATTTTCCCTCGATCGAGCTACCAAAGGGAAGGCGATTAGATCTTTCGGATCAGCTACACGGCCGATCACATGTTTCAATCGATGAAACAGCGGTGACCGAAGCTAGGAACGAGGGAACGAGCGAGAGACAAGCTACTTATTGAATAATTACTTGGTAGGATGCGGAGATACGTATAATAAAGAAGGCTTCGACGTTAATTTTAATACTCGCGACGAAGCTTAAGACTAATCAACTTGCAATTAAAGGTCCCTCGGCGGTTGTGGTGTTCTCCCTCGATGTCCTTGCGATTAACCCAAATTTAAACTGAAATCAAAACTCATATGTATATTAGTGAGATATGGTAGGAAATTTAATAAACACTTCAAAATGATCTATCACCTAGCTAAAGGGAATTAAACAGAGTATATTAGCAAAATGTTACAAGAATTTAAGCTGAGAAGTAAAAATAAAAATCTTATATTAATCAGTGTCGAACAACAAACACGAACGAAAAAACGAGTCAGAGACATCGAAACAAATACGGTATATGCATCGACACAATGTTATTCATATCAAAACGAACACTCCTAATAATGAAAGAAACTTGGATCGAGACACCAAGTTGAATCAACACCAAACAATCAAACGAAATGGAAGAATCAAACGAAGTACCTCCGTAGAATATTACGAGAATTCGAGCAAGAACGTAAAAATATGAATTCATGAATTTGTATAGAAACAAATATAGTGTATGATTGAAAACAATATTATATTATTATATCCTGCAATATTATACATATCGAAGCAGTCACGTAAATTCGCAAAACAATGTAAAAGTAGAAACAGAGAAAAGGAACATTCATAATAACCAAATAAAATCAGATAGATAAATAAAGTTGAATTCACATCAAACAAACAAATAAAAATAATAAAATATAAATAAGTGGAGTGGACTTACTACTTGTTGTCAGTACCTAGGGTAGTTACCATAAGGGCCAGCTGTAAAGTCAGAAAATATTCATATTATAGCAACATCGGTTAGATAAACAAGGCAAAATTAGTTCATTGAAGCAAAATTGGCATCAAATGATAGAATAGAAGAGGGGAGAGAATTTTTAAACAGTTCTTACTGTTGGTCATCACCGTCCGGCACTGGTCAGTAGTGGCAGGAACGCGAATCAGCACTGGTCAGTAGTGGTCAGTATTTGTCAGTATTGGTCAGTATTGGTCAGCAATGGTCAGCAGCGGTCCCCGGTTCTCCTCTGGCTATTTGTACACTCCCGAATTCGCGACGCGACTGAAGAAATCTTCGCAGTGACCCTGCTTATATGTCTAAGGGGATGAAAGTGGGGAGACCAGTCAGAGCCAAAGTTGAAGATAACAGGTAAGACTGTCTCGTCTACAAAGAAACTATTCCGATTGGTCCCACCTCTTGACCATTTCTGGATCTTCACTGGACCGCTGACCTTGATGTCCACCTCACTGTTGACCACCAGTGACCATAAGCTAGTCATTGTTGACCATCGACCCATTAAAACCATTACGAAGATTAAAGCCTTCTTACGAGGATTCCCTTACAATTTGATGCATGATCTTTTTAACATTTTGTTCCACTTTGGAAGAGTGTATCTCATTAATTGTTGTCTTTTTGTACGTCAGTTCGAACAATTGCCATACTGAGCGAAAAATTCGGAGGTGATTTCAGCGTCCTCTTCTCATGGAGGGCGGTCTGTTGAAAAATTATTCACTGAATTAGTATTGATAGGCAAACAGCTGTAGTTTTGCGTAAATCCATGTGAGTTGACTATGAAAGGGATTAAAATTCATTTCTGAATCTGTTGATAACGTTGCGAGTGACACGAAAATGGTAATGGGGTCCCGGGACCCGAGAAACTCGGGCCGAAAAATTACATTAGGTGAAAGGTCTATTCATATACCTCGTCTGTGGTGAAAGGTCTACTCGTATACCTCGTCTGTGTTCTAACGATATGAATAAATTTTATTCTTCTACTTTCTGGATACATAAAATGATTGTCAAGAGCAGTTTAATTCAGAAACTGATCTAAAATTGATTCTTTTTCTGACAGAGTATTTAACAATTGTCAAAAAATAGTATGATACGTATTTTATTAAAATTTATTCAATGTTTGTTATTGGTAATCGACTGTAGGTAAAAATTAACGTAAAAAGAGTAAGTTACAATAAAATTATGTTTCAGTCGATAGTATAACCATCATCCGGTATGTTTATATAGTCGTACTCTTATTTATCTATTGAGGTTATGAACTAGTTAGTATTCATTACATCATTTTATAGTTTAACTTTTACGTAAAAGATTTATATTTCATTTCTTATATAAGAATAACGTATACATACTTATATAATATCTATTACCATTCAATTTTATTCAGCAATTTTGTAACATGTTTGATGTTGACAAATTGATTTCCTGCCAAATAATTAGTATTCCATATTTATAAGTATATAATTTCATTTGTAATTAATAATCGTTATATAATTTGTACTATATGTAAGAAATTAGTAAACGTTCTAACATGAGGCCTCTTGGTCTAGGGGTATGATTCTTGCTTTGGGTGCAAGAGGTCCCGGGTTCAAATCCCGGAGGGGCCCTGTTTTTTTATTTTTATAAATACAATTTCTACTTTTGATTACAGTCGTCGTACTTACAAAATGTGTGTGAAACATTTTTCTGTTTAAATATACAATTTATATGCTTGAATTAATCATCTTATCTGTCAACGTAAAATAATGAAAAGACTCATCGATTTGTTAATGGTAAATTGCCATAAAATATAGTACAGTATCAAACTTATCGCATACATTTTGTTTCAATTTCATAAATTGGGTCGCTTACATCTATCTAAGAGATGTTGCTTTATCATCGAATACACAAAGTTCGCAATTAGTGTCAAGTTTCAAGTAAATATTGATACTATTCTTCTATTCATCATAGAACGAGGAAAGAAACGTATCACGATGTTTGATGCCAAAAGCACGTATGTTTAACCGATAGATATATTAAAGAAGGATAAAAATGATTATTTGCATGCATGTACATAATACTTTTCCTGTAATAATTTTCTTTGTTTCAGTACTACAGGAACAAACATATTAGTTATTAAAAAAGAGAGTCATGTACTTTTATTCTAAAAATGGGAAATTTTGACAAGAGTATAGTTAAACCACGGAAGCCATAAAATAACATTTTCTTTTTTGACTACATTCTTGAACACGTAGAATGTTTAATTAGTAATATTTTACTTTGAAAAAGTTTATGTATATTTGATAAATATCACTGAGTATGCATGAGATATTTCGACGAAAAAGCTGTGCAACTCCTTGCCAAAAAATGATTGGAAAGGATCCAAAAATACCTAATTCATAGTAGAATACTTTCGTAATGTATCGACAGTCCCTATAACAGGTTCAAATTGCGCGCGGTATGATTTCCTCCTCCCGAGAAAATTAAGATGGCGGCAGAGTTAGTGCGCATGCACGAGTTCCTCAATGGTCGGGCAAAAACACAGCTGGTCTATGATCTCCGAAGCAAGCTGACGGTCGAACGCTATCAATGTGATTTTCGTGAAATTCTTACCGATCTACCGGTCAGATCGCGAGGTCAAGGCAAGCTTGCGCGGCAATTCGGTTTAGTGCTCGATTGGTGTTAATGAGTGTGTTTAGATGTATGCAAAACTCGGTAATCGCGGTGTCACCACGAGGATTTTTCACTGCCCTGGATACAAAGGAGTTTCGTGAGGTGCTTCGAGCGTCCTTTCGGTGAGCTTACGACCGATTCTATTCAATAATCCGCCTTCGACGCGAGTCCTTCTTTCGCGCGTGTTAGAAAAGTTTCAACCTATCGACGAAGCCAAGTGACCTTTTTCGATTTACCCGAATCGTCTATGTCGGGCGACGACAAAATTTCGTGCGATTGCCAGTTCCCCGAGCCCCGATCCGGCAGAACGTGAACCGAAAGACGTGAAACTCCATCGCGTTATCGGCGGTTGCGAATTTTCGAGACGGTTCTCTCACGACGGAACGTTCCGCGGATCAAGAAAACGTCCAGGGATAATGCGTGTGGCGTGTGCAGCATCTTTGGAAATAGGTCAGAAGAAACTTTTCGTAATTTCTGGGCAAGATATCCGGACAGGTATTTATCCGCCTGTTGAGAGAATGATTGTTATCGTGCGTTATCTTTCGTTGCTCCGCTTGCATAGTGCAGCCCCTCGAACTCGAGTGAACCGTCTTTGTTATCTCAGACACCGTAGGATCGTACGTCTCTCTCTGAGATTTGTATCTTTGTTACGCAGCATACGTGCTAGCCGATGGTAAACATCGCGAACGGAACCGTCCGACGTCGCGGCTTCCATTGGCAACAGACACGTAGCTCGAAATTTTAATCTTCCCCGGCCGAGAGCAAACTCTCGTTAATGTTTCGTCGTGTTTACGTGGAAACGCCAGCTGTGCCATAATGTCCCGCGGATAACGTTATCATCCCTGCGTCGTATCTAAACCGAGGTCTTGAACCCCGGCGTCTCAGAACTATTTTTGTATCTCTCGTTGCTCTCTGTCACCGTGTGCCATCGACGAAAGGAATCCGGCTGTTGTCGAGCGGTACTGCAGTCCTTAGGACTCTGACCTTGTCCTATGCAAAACGATACCTCGCGTACCTCCGTGGTTTTAATCGGTGTACCAATTAACGGACCGACAACTCGCTGTGTCTCGGCTTAATTAGTCGGATCACGACGACGAGCAACGGGCCTGGTCATAGACGAACGAAATTCTTAACTAGACACAATTTTTGCATAATCATCCGAGTCGGGACGAGCTCTCGAAATACAAAGTACAGTGTACGGATGTTCCATAGAAAAAAAGAAATGAAAAACGAAAATTAATTATTTCACCGACCGACGAAAAGTGGTGAGCTTTCTATTGGTTATCAGTTCGTGTAAAATTTTTCTGGTGTCCGGGCTCGGTCGACCATCGTCGTAGGCACGATAAATTTTTTCGGCTTGGACCTGTCTTTCTCTTTGTCTTCTTCGGTCTCTCGCCGTATCGATGCCCGTTATCGTTGAACTTCGAACACGCTTACTCTCGATTTTCAGTTTTCCAACCATCGATCGACGTGTACACCTATTATCCATTGCGGCAGAACGCTTCGGCTGCCGATACTGCACAACGATCCGTGAACTTACACGGGCACAAAACCGAAACGCGGCGTACGATCGTCGATATTCGAAACAAAGGGTTGCGCCGGGCCTGCCGCCGCGTCCTTTAGACACGTTAATTTTCGAACGTGCAGCTGTTACCGTTCGATATGACTTCTGTGCCGAGTAATTAACCGTCGTTAAAAACGCCACGCTCCCCATCCCGTCGCGCAAGATTGGAGTATCGGGTTTCGCGTTCGATCCGGTTTCCATTGGTCCTCTCGTTTTTTTTTTTGCAAAAATTCAAACAAATCTTGCGCATCAACGTCAACTCGTGACTATATTTTAGGTTATGGTGGACTCATCGATCCAAAGAATATTTTATACTTTACGGCGTATTCCTTGCGTCGATGGTAATAAATAATAATAATAAATTCAGACAACCGTGTTTCCGCGCGATAGTTAGGTTAGGTTCGTTCCTTTGCGATGTAAGTAGCTGTCAATTCGCAAACGAATTTATTGACCAACCTGGCGCGTCTCGTCTGTGGAGTTAGGGTACGTGGCTCGTAAAAAGTTCTGTCTACGCGACGGACTACTTGATCCCGCGTAAGGGATACGTCGCTAGGGAGGACACAAAATATTACGAAGAAGAACAAGTCTTACGGCTGCTGTAGAAACGAAAGTGAAGAAACTTTCGGATCTTTTTAGTGAAAGAAAAATTCCGATACAAAGCAGATGTTTGCGTTGGCATATATTTTCATTGAATATACAAGATGATTTAGGTAACTAGAGCAAGCTGTAATTCTTGTTTTTGCTCGAATCCCGCGATGGGGAACATCTTGAGATGATATAACTTTTTTACTGGAGCCACGGTACGAGTGCATATTGCACTTGCTCCTGTTTCGCAAACAGAATCATAAATCGATTTTCTTCATCGTTATGTATATCTTCGTTACGAGAGCAAAATAAAGTTAAACAGATCCTTATGTACTACTTAATTTAATACAATATTATTTATACAATATACAGGGTGTTCAGCCACCCATGAGAAAAATTTTAATCGGAGATTCTAGAGGCCAAACTAAGACGAAAATCAAGGATACTAATTTGTTGATTGAGGCTTCGTTAAAAAGTTTTAGAAATATTTTCGACCACACAGTATATTATCGGTAAAGAATTTTTTTCTCGAAAGTGCGTAAGATTTCGAGGGTATGTGTATTGACCAAAAATGATTATAATTAACACCTGCAACAGAAAATAATTTTTCCAGAACGATTTGAAATTTTTTAATTTTGTCAAAAAATTTGTCCACATTTCTCAATTTTTTTCTCGAAAGTGCGTAAGATTTCGGAGGTATGTGTATTCACCAAAACTCATTGTAATTGACGCCTGCAACCAAAAATAATTTTTTTAGAACGATTTGAAATTTTTTAATTTCACCGAAAAATTTGTCCACATTTCTGAATTTTTTTCTCGAAAGTGCGTAGGATTTCGAGGGTATGTGTAATGACCAAAAATGATTTTAATTGACCCCCGCAACAGAAAATAACTTTTTCAAAACGATTTGAAATTATTTAATTTAATCTTTTAATAACTTTTTAACAAAGCCTCAATCAACAAATTGATATTCTTGATTTTCGTCTTATTTTGACCTCTCGAATCTCCCATTAAAATTTTTCCCAGGGGTGGCCGAACACCCTGTATAAAACTGGAAATTATAAACAAGAATGTGTGTTATAATACAAAAATATAACATTGGTAAAATATTGATTAATGGGTCCCATGCGGGTCAACCAAGAATATTAAATAACAGAGAAAACACGGAATTGCAGGAACATATTGGGAAAATATTTATGCAGAAAAACAGTTCGTCGAATGATCGGGTCAATCGGATATTGCAATCGAGTTTTCAGAAAAAAGATTTGCATTGACGAACGAAGTTGATGAAATTTAATCGTTTTTGCTGCAACATATTATGCTGAATCTACAGAACGTGTACATGTTAATATATATACGTGATATGATTTTTCTGTTTTAGTGATAACAGAGATCTTTGACTAAAAAATAATCGAGGCTATCAAGTTATGTTGATCACCGGTAGTAACGAAGAAATGGCCGTGAATGAGGATCGCTTTGAAACGTTGCAATTAGTCGACATTGTGTTACGATGATTTTTACGTAATACGCGAATCTGTTCGTTACATTTTATTTATAAGAATTGTCTCGAAGCTGAGAATATATGTGTTCCCGGCGGCTATAAAATTCGTTGACGTTTACACGCGGACCGTCCGTACACCGAGGAATTCAGCTTTTATCTTTATTACACGATAGCCACGCGGTATACAGAAATATTCGAAATACAAATTTATCAATGAAAAAGTTAGCACGTAGCTAAGACGTACAAAGTGAATCTTTTATATATTTTAACAATTTATATATACAGGGTGTTCGAACATCACTGGGAAAAATTTTAATGGGAGATTCTAGAGGCCAAAATAAAACCAAAATCAAGAATATCAATTTGTTGATGGAGGCTTTGTTAAAAAGTTATTAATGTTTAAAGTTCCGTCCGTACTGAATTTTTTTCTCGAAAATGCGCAGGATTTCCGGGGTATGTCTATTCACCAAAAATGATTGTAATTGAATCTCGCAACCAAAAATAATTTTTCTCGAACGATTTGAAATTTCTTTTTCCGTGCAAAAATTTCACACTTTCTCGAATTTTTTTCTAGAAAGTGGGTAGGATTTTGGGGGTATGTCTATTCACCAAAAATGATTGTAATTGACCCCCGCAACCGAAAATAAGTTTTCCAGAACGATTTGAAATTTTTGAATTTAATTGTTAATAACTATTTAACAAAGCCTCCATCAACAAATTGGTATTCTTGATTTTCGTCTTATTTTGGCCTCTAGAATCCCTCATTAAAATTTTTCCCAGGGGTGGCCGAACACGCTGTATAAATATATGTAATTAGTAACATTATCAATTTTTATCGTGCTATTTATATGCAATTTCGTATTTTCTACCCATTTCAACGCAATAACCATTATATTTTTGTTTGACACGGTGATTAAAATTATGCAGAATAATTTCGAAAATACGTAACCTTCGTAATTACGAAATTTCTCGGTGTTACAATGCGAGTATACTTTGTAATGAATAATTTACAATACGAAAGATATAAAAGGCAATGGAGGAGTAACCCACTTTAACATCAGCACGTTTGTCGTACTTTGTAAATAATATATACATGTTGCTTTATTCGTCGTTTCATTTCTGTATTTATTAAAAATTAACTCAACTCAGGTCTACAATCAATTCTATTTATATTTATTTGATCAAACGCGTCTACCTCCGGAATACGTTCAAAAATAATTTTATACGTTCTACTGTGCGCATAGTTTAGCGAAGAAACATCAATAAACAATATTTTTCTTCAAATTTTTACGAGTCCCATTCCGATAGTGCCAGACTGTGTGTTTTTATCGTGTTTTTTATTGCTGGTGCACACCCCCAACAAAGATTGAACCTCTGTATATCGGGTGTCCGAGAAACAGATGCTCTCTGAACCGTAAAGTCAGAAGTAAAATGTAAATATAAATAGTAAATCTCTATTCCGGAAAGATTAA